TGTGTGTGTGTGTGTGTGTGTGTGTGTGTGTGTATTTAAATTGTTTTTACAATTTTTTCCTTTTAATTATGGTGCCATAAGATAGAGATGCAGCACAGACCTGGGTAATACCCACCTCTACATCATTCAAGCTGAGTGATCATAAAAGCCTCATCTATCAAATAGAGGGAATAAAATCTTACAGCGGTGTGGTCAGATGAGATAATGTGTAAATCTTCTACTTCACATTCACCAATTAGATGTCCTGCAGGCATACAGTGAATGCTCAACAAATTCATTTGTTTAAGAAACTTTAATTGAGCATATATCATGTGCCAAAGATTGCATTAGGCATGAAGATACAAAATTAAATAAGGTCACTAAGCTTATAGGCTAGTATTGGAGACAGGCAAATAAATACCACCAGTAATAAATACACTGCAGTGTGATAAGTGTTATGTACACAGAAGGAGAGTTTCCAAATTGGACCAGAGATTTGGAGACCTCTCCAGAAGAGGTGATGCTTGAGCTGAATTTGGAAGATACAGATAAAAGGTAGAAGATGTTTATATGCATTTTAAGCAGACAAAAAAGCATAGGTAAAAGACAGAAGTGTGTAATCATGGGACCGGCTTTTTTTTTTTTTTTAAGTTTTATTTATTTATTTGACAGAGACAGAGACAGTGCAAGTGGGGCAGGGGCAGAGAGAAAGGGAGAAAGAGAATCCTAAGCAGGCTCTGAGCTGCTAGCCCAGAGCCCGATTCAGGGCTTGAACTCATGAAACTGTGAGATCATGACCTGGGCTGAAACCAAGAGTGGGACGCTTAACCAACTGAGCCACCCAGGTGACCCTTGTGTGACCTGCATGTTACCCAGAGTAGTTTCATATAGACAGAGCCAATGGTGCACAGGAGCTGTGGCAGGAGGGGAGGTTGGAGGAGGCGGGGGTTGGAAAGATCCATGGAAAGTCAGAAATCACATCACATCACAAAAATCACATGAAAAGCTTTATGGGCTAAAGTAAGACCTGTTATCCTGACAATTATGGACTTTTAAGTAGAGGAGAGACTGAACAAATAGATATGTGTCTGGTAATATCCTGGCATCAGTAGAGAGGGTCAGACGAGAGATAGGAAAACCACTCGGGAAGGTGTTGCAGCAGTAGAGGCGAGAAGACATGAGGCCCTAACAGTGCCAGTGGGGATGGAGAGGAAAGGGGATACAGTTCAGGGGTTGGAATAGTGCAAGGGCATAGTGTACTTGCTGCCAGGGTGGAGGGAGAGGGGAAGAGAGAGAGGGATGGAATCTTCCCCAGGTAACCAGACTGGGCTGCTCAGTGAACGGTGCAACCTTTTTACTGACCTGGAATGGAGGCTGCCAGCTCATGCTTGCTGCCTTATCCGTGGTGCCTGGCACAGAGTAGTGCTTAATTGTTGAATGAATACATTGTTCTGAAGCAGAGGAAGAAGAGCATCTTTGGGTGGGGAAGATGATGAGTTCATTTTTGGCTCTGTTGAGTTTGAGGGGCCTGTGGGACATTCTAATAGACAGATATATGTATCTATGTATCTATATCTATAGAGAGAGTTTTGAGGTTTGGATCCATCAGAGACAGATGGCAATTAAAGCTGTTGTGGATCAGGTAGAGAAAGCAGATAGAGCGAAAAAAGCCCTAGAGAGCATCAGCATTTAAAATGTGATCAGAAAAAAGGATCTTACCAGGACGACTGAGAGGTAGGAGATCAATGAGTGCAAAGCTGCAGAAACCCAGGGCAGAGCAAAGCTGCTTGAAGGAGGAGACACATGGGAACTTGCAGCAGACATGTCTCATCTAAATTATCCTCTAAACTACAATTGCTTTTTGTTCCTTCCTCAGCAAAAGGGGAAACTTATTCTCATAGTAGGGATAGATTTCTATATTGAAGTTTATTCCAGAAAATCAATATGATTTATAAATATTGTCAAATGAAATGTGCACTTCCTTTGCGAATGCCCAAGTGTATCACTGCATGTAAGAATTACTTGGCAGAGGGGCGCCTGGGTGGCTTGGTTGGTTAAGTGTCTGACCCTTGATTTTGGCTCAGGTCATGATCTCATGGTTCATGAGTTCAAGTCCCACGTTGGGCTTCTCGCTGACTGTGTGGAGCCTGCTTAGGATTCTCTCTCTCTCTCTCTCTCTCTCTCTCTCTCTCCCCCTTTCTCTCTCTCTCTCTCTCAAATAAATAAACTTTACAAAAAGAGAATTATTTAGCAGAAATTTAGAAAACTCTTCCAAGAGCTTCTGTCAGAATTTAGAAACCTTTCTGTGGGCTTTCCAGAACCATCCACCATATTGTTGCTAGTTGATATTCACAAGCAACCAATTATCTAAAGTACCTGCTCATATAACCACAACCACAAAAAGAACAACAAGACCCACACAATGGCTTCATGAAGAGGCAAGATGATAAACAAAGATTTAAAAAAAAATGGTTAGGCTCTTTTCAGAGGGATAGATCTTTCTGGAATGCCATTGACTGATAATTGTAAGTGCATAATGGCAGGAAGTATTTTCTGTAATGCCTTTTGCCTGTTAGTTTCCCGTCTCTTAGAATCAAAATACAAAGGACTAATGGAATTTGGGCAAGGGAATAAATCAATGGAGTACTTATAGGTGGATGAAAGAAAGTACACGAAGAACCTTGTGGTAATAGCCCTTCAGAGAAGTGGCACATTGCAGGGCGAATTAGTTGTAAAATCAGAGAGATCTGCACGAGAAGTGAATTGGTAGCACACTCTGGCCTCTGTTACAAACGACAGTAACCACAGAGCAAGTCACAGTTTCCATCCCTGCGCGAAATGCGATGCCAGGCACCTAGTAGGTGCTCCACAACTATTTGTTGAATTTGAATAATAGTACTTGCTTTTATTATACCTTTTTAAAGAGAAAGTTACTAATGATCTAGTAACATCTTTTGCGATGTTGCTACAAACAAAATAGCTTCTGAGAAACAGTAATGATTGAGAATTGTAAAGTATCCCCAAATATGAAGGAACCGGGCATTGGTGAAGTTTTCTTAGTCCAACTGCAGAAATAATTGCATTATCTAGACAGAACTTCTCTAGCAATCACTGTATCTGATACAGAGAGAGGCCCTACTGCCAGACCTCTCAAACTACGAGGCACAGATCAAGTCCACTCTTTTTAAAGAGTTCAATTCCGTGTGCATACGTGGTACCAAATGCAGTAGAAGACCATTAAGAAACGGTAAGAACTGTGTTGCTAAGCACAGTTCAGCACTGCTCTGGAATTCTTTGATTTAAGATTTAAAGGGTGAAATATAGGTAGGGGTACTATCGCTATCATATCATATTAGGCTGCACATAGAATTTTGTTGAAAGGTAATTTCAAATGTTTTGAGAACATATTTTATTCAAAGAGTTTTATGAGAGATGCAATCTGGGAATCTGCGGAGCATATCCTGTTCAAGACATGGTGACAGCCGCAGGCTTCAGGCTGTCTCCTGCCTGCAATCTTGTGAGAAGAGAACTGATATGGGTTTGGAAACACACCCATTAAATAAGGAAATAGACCTCTGAATGAAAGGGGAGAGAAAAGTGTCTCAGTCTGGACAGACCCTAAATTTTTCGCTCTCTGGGGAGAAGAAAGAAGGCGGCCTCGGAGGAACTTGTTGGTAGCAAGAGCCACCGCAAAGAAATGAAATGGAGGTACGCTTCCAAAGGCATCACACGGTTTTTTCAAAGACCCTGGAATTCTTTGAGGCTGCTCTTCTCAGGCCTTTTTTTCCCGAGAATCAGTCTCTTTTATATGTTCCCGACACTGTGGTTTGAAAACATAACTTGCTTAGTTTTCTTTAAAGATAATGGCTTTCTGTTTTGAAAAGCTGACTGTTCACACACTGTGAAAAAGGGAGACATTGGGAGCTTCAATTCAGCAGTTAGTTAATATTCCAGTTGTAACACAAATTTATATCATTTTAAAGAATATGAACACGTTTGTAATTCTTATGCAGATAGATTATACTTAAATATATGGATATATATCAGAATGACTTTATAATAGTTATTCTTAAACTATTCTTAGACTAGGTCTTAAACTGTAGCAATTTTCCATGTGCAAAGGATTTTTAAAACATACACTTTTCTGCTATTTAAACATTTTCTTTTTTTTTTTAATTTTTTTTAATGTTTATTTATTTTTGACAGAGAGAGAGACAGAGCATGAGCAGGGGAGGGGCAGAGAGAGAGGGAGACACAGAGTCCGAAACAGGCTCCAGGCTCCGAGCTGTCAGCACAGAGCCCGACGCGGGGCTCGAACTCACGGACCGTGAGATCATGACCTGAGCTGAAGTCGGATGCTTAACCGACCGAGCCACCCAGGTGCCCCCAAAATTTTCTTGATCTTAAAAATTTTCCAAGCAATTTCTCATTTTTACCCATTCCATAGCGTTCTTCACACATATCCTTATTCATCTTTATTATACCCGGTGCCTAATCTAGTATCTGTCACATAAAAGGTGTTTAATAAATATGTGTGGAATGAATGAAGGCCCTGAAAGTTCATTTAGTATTTCTGTGTCCCTTGTCCTCGGCAATATGCTCCTTAAGCAGCCTTGCTTTTTATTTTTCCAAAGAGTTGGTTAAGAGGTGCCTAGGTGGCTCGGTCGTTAAGTGTCTGACTCTTGATTTTGGCTCAGGTCATGATCTCATGGTTCATTTGTGAGTTTGAGCCCCGGCGTCAGGCTCTGAGCTGATGGCTCAGAGCCCGCTTGGGATTCCCTCTCTCTGCCCCTCCTCCCCATGTTCTCTTTCTCTCTCTCAAAAATAAATAAACGTTAAA